TCATAATGATGCCCAATACAATGACCAGTTCCCAGTCTGTGCCCCATACATGTCGGTTGAAGTAAATTAGGGGGACGTCAGTGTATCAAGGAATAGTTTGACTTCTCTATTTAAATGGCAAAAATGGAAGACTCAGGAACAAATGCCGTTTCTGCTCTGGATGTAGGCTGATGTCTTTATTTGGCACTGGGGAGTGAGGCGTATCTTTTCCACAGAGTGCTGGCATGAGCTGTAAGGGTTGCCCCAAGGAAGGGCCTGTGAGCCCAGACACACCACACTGAGGTGACGCTGGAGAAGTGTTCTGGGGAGTCTTTTCTCCCTGGCTGCCTATAAATAAAGCATAATTTTCAGTTGAAATATGGTCTATGGGTTTCTTCTTTCCTGGCATTTGGGAATTCCCTGAGGCCCCCAGAGTTGTGCCGCCAGAAAAGGCCATTAACTCCCACAAACTCAGGGGTAAGTGCTGCTTCCCAGCCAAGGCTCATAAAATTTCAAACGAAACCCTTCCGAACCCAGGAAGATCGGCCTGGTTGACAAGAAACACATGGGCAGGGCCAACACATGGAATGCATTTTGCTCAGAACAGCTTCTTTTGATGATGTTTCCAAGCACTGAGACCACAGCTCTCGGCACCTTCATGGCAAGTACTCAGCTCTTGTCTCTCTGGGCCTTGGCATCTTGTTAGGACACCTAGTCTCGGGGACTGCTGACTCTCAATACCTTCATTGTGCCACAGCGTGGTCCCTGGCCCTTCAGGCACAAACACAAAGCACATTGTCACTATCTTAACCAGACCGTTTCCTCCTCCACATGGATTCAGAGCCACAAGTGTGGGCTCTCCTTGTGGGCGGACAGCCTGATGTGGAACGTGCATCTTCACTTGCACCAAGGACCACTTCCCTGCTTGTTCCACCTCCCAGGAAGCCCCAGGCTCACAGTGAGTGCCTTCTCCATGGGATGCTCATTGCACCCTGACAGGGCCCTCCTACCTCATCTATTCCTCTAGCCCTGCCTCAGATGCCATCACTGCTTTCACTGACAGAGTGCCCTACCCACAGATGGCCCATGGAACATGTTTGTCAGTCCCTTCATCCCCACCCTCAGGCATCCCCTAGGTCTTCCTCACAACCTAGAATGCTTGGTCTCCTCCCTATCCTTTCTTTTCTACCTCATGCACTTTTCTAGGAAAGTTTCCTGAATTGGCCTCTCCTCTTTTTTTTTTTTTTTTTTTTTTTTTTTGGATGTTGTTTATTTTGTTGTGGATTTTGAAGGAGGAAGAATACGTCTGTCATTGTTACACTTTCATTCTGTTTAAAACGCTTCCAGATGCTTTACTGGGGCTCTGTCAGCAGGATCCCCATGTCTGCTTCCCAAATACAGGGGCTCAGATAATTGCCTTTCTCCTTTCATTTCCAGTCCTCCAGTCCTCCGGGCACATCACAGTTACTTGAATGCAAGTGGATAAAACTTTAGGACATTTGACCACATTTATCTTCTAAAAATTTCTTCTGTTTCACTGCAGTTAGTAATTGTGAATGGATGGATCAGTGGATGGACAGATGGATGGCTAGATGAATGGATGGCTGGTTTAAATAAATAGATACTTCTACCAGGCCCTAGATCTTGTCTAGCCCTAACTTCCTACATTGGGTACAAGAACCACAAATAACAAAGAAAGTAGTTGGTACCTTTCTCTGGCCATGAGGCCAGTCAGTTTTTCTACCACAGGAAACTGCCCAGCCTCTAGGTTCAAATAATAATGTCTTTTCTGTTCTGAGAAAAGCAATCAGAGGTCCTGGCCTTGTTCCTTGTCCTTGACTGTGTCTGGCCACCACTCCCAGCAAAACCCAGGAGACCCTTCCTTAACTAACTCAGCTCTTCTCCCTGTCAATCACCAACTGCTTCCAGGCCTCCACCAACACCCACCCAAAGCCTCCAGTGCCTCGGTTTTGCCCTCCTATTTTTACATACAGCAGCAATCATTTTAAATGTTTTTCTGTTGGCATTTTCTTAAGAATGAGGAGGAGTTAGGGTGGAGAAGTTAAACATCAGTCATAAGCAGAGAAGAGCAGATAATTTTTAAAAAAGAAAAAAAAAAAAAAGAGCCACTGCCCAGAGGGCTTGCAGGGTAAATTAGATACACAGAGAAAGTGTGACAAGATGGGGCAGGCACTCACTGGGAGACAGGTGGCAGCCAGGGATAACTGTCTTTGTTCTGGACAAGCCAGCCTGTCACCTGCCACCTTCGAGGGATCTCAGGGGAAGGCTCAAGGAAAAGATGAAAAGAGAGCACAAAAGTAGTAATGAATGACTTTAGATAATAAGTGGAAATGAAAGCATGACTGAGAGAGGCCCAGACACTTTGCTTCTGGTTCCTTTCCTCCTTATATTGCTACAGGTGAGAAAGGAGGATACCAAAGAGTTTCCCACTCCCACAAGAATAAGAGAAAAAGGCAAGCATGAGGACCTGGCAGGGATATCCAGAATTTAACACTGACTTTGCTCTCTCTCTTTCTCTCTCTCACTCTCTCACACTGTGTGTGTGTGTGTGTGTGTGTGTATTTATTGTTCCAATGTTAGTTTATTCGTCTAACATATGTTGGTGTGCTGAAGTTTTGTGAGTGGGTAACATCTTCCAGCCTCACCCCCGCCATAACCCTGCAGTATTCTCTTTTTGTAAATTCCAGGACTAGAGCCCAAAGGCATCTCAGTCCAACACATCTTGTCACATCAAAATAAAAGCAAAATTAAAGCCAAGACATCATGGAACGCCTCATAAAGCTCTCCCAACAGCCAGTCCATGCTCAAATCTCCCAACACAAAATTGCTGCTGCTAAGACAATTCTCTTGATATGCATGTTGAATAGGAAGTCAAGAAGGGGGGGGTTAATTTTTTTGCTACAAGAAATTACATCAGTTCGAGGAGTGATATTGGAGGAGAGTGTCTTTAAATAGGTTTATAAAAGTTGGCAAAGTCTTTCCAATGTGGGACTCAATCCTGGGTCCATTGAAGACACAACAGGTCCTGCGCTGAAGACCCACAACGCCCACCTCTCTCATGTGAATGCCACACATGAACAGCACCCCTGCCACCTTGTGGCAATTGTGAAATAGAGAAGAAACGTGGCAGGCTGTGAGTGCCCAAGTCCTGGGCCATGGGCTCACCTGCCCACTGTACTTGCATCCTTTTCTTAGAGAGTCGCCCACACCAGCACTTACTGAACGGTGATTACCTCAACTATGCAGCAGATAATGACAATGTTATTTGGAATTGAGTTCTTTGTACTTCTACCTTTCTTCAGTGATTTAAAACTTGTTTAAGATGCGTGTTTTAGAGAGAGTGAGCCAGAGAAAAAGAGAAGAGATTCACCAGGTTTGACAATTCTGATGAAGGGGCAATTGAAGCATCAGAGGCTGATTCTTCAGGAGCTATGGAAATAGCAGGACCCAGAGGGCAGCAAAAGCCATTCTTAGAGAGAAGAGATCCTCTCTCTGATTTGTAGGAAGGTGACAGCCTTCAGCTCCTTCCAAGCTCCTCCTTTGACATGGGGGATGGGAAGTGGCAAGACAAGGGCAAAGAAAGCAGCCTCCCTGGGGTGCCCAGGTCCAGGTTGCCAGCATCCAGAGCTGAGCCCAGGCTGGACACTAGACCCAAATCCTCCCTTCCTAACTGTTTTGGGGGAAGCAAGGCAGAGGCACCTTAAGCCGATGGTTCACACCCCAGCATCTCCCACTGTGAGTAGGGAAAATTTGGGACAAGCCCTGATGTGTGCAGTGAAAGTTGTCTTTCTGGATTTGCAAGTAGATGAATAAGGTTGAGTTTTACAGAAAACATGTTTCCAAACACATTCGCCACAGGCCAAACATCGCTTCAGAGGAGCTTTATTTTTAGAAGAGCTTTAAAAGTATTTTCTTTATGGTACTTGAGACTAAGTTCAGTCCCTGTGATGACTTGAAATCCCATTTACATAGACCTTCTGAGACTGGAGAGTCATTTGACAACTTCTCACCACAGCGGTGCTGCACGCTTCATGAGCACCAGAGGAAACACACGTGGAAACTGGGAGTGGAGACGCTGGGAAACCTCCGGCAGCTACACTCATCCAATTCCTGCTTTCAATGTCTGACGGAAACTGCAAGTTCAGAGAACCAAGTTCCTATTTGGCTTTGTCACAATCTTGAGCATGTCACAACTTTTCTAAATCTCAGTTTTCCTATTTATATAAGAAAGAATTGCAAAAGTCCATTTACTTCCTAACCCAGAAACCACAGACACACCTGAGACATATTTCGTGGATCAGTAAGTCTGGGATTGCTCGAACATGAGTAAGGATGGAGTGAGGATTTAGCCCCATGCTGTGCCACCTTCTTCCCCATGAGTAGGAGAGAAAGCATTCCATCAGGGGACCCTTTGGAAGTCACATGACCTTCCTAAATATCCCTGGGGTCTCAGGAACTTCAAGTCAGGGTGCCACTATCAGGACCAAATCTTTAAAACTCACCCAAATCGATATGCTGTTGGCTGTGGGACATCCAGAAGACATGGTAACTACCTCAGTGTCTTCCATGGAGACGTCTCACATGATCTGAAAACTCAGTCATGTTCCGAGGAAGTCCAGACCTTACTAACCTTCCACCTCAGACTGCAGCACATTAGAGCCATTCTTTTAAACTATTATTTGTGTGTCTTCAAAATGTATTATCTTCTTCTTCTTCTTCTTCTTCTTCTTTTTTTTTTTTTTTAAAGACAGAGTCTTGCTCTGTCGCCCAGGCTGGAGTGCTGTGGTATAGTCTCAGCTCACTGCAACCTCCGTCTCCCTGGTTCAAGCAATTCTCCTGCCTCAGCCTCAGCTGGAGCTACAGGTATACGCCACCACGCCCGGCTAATTTTTGTATTTTAGTAGAGACGAGGTTTCACCGTGTTGCCCAGTCTGGTCTCGAACTCCTGAGCTCAGGCAATCCACCCGCCTAGGCCTCCTAAAATGCTAGGATTACAGGCGTGAGCCACTGCGCCTGGCCTAAATCTACTATCTTCTTAATGAGCTTTGGGCCGCAGAGCCCGTAGGCTATACTTCGGTGTCCTTTTTGCCCTTCAAAGAACAGGAAGCTGATATTCCACATATGCATCAGCCAGGTTGGTGGGTTGGTGGGTTGGGCTGCAGGAAGCTTGGGGAGACTCCAGGTTACCTCTCCAGAAATTCCTAAAGGACTGCGTGAAGAGAAGGGGGAGAGAACCATGAAGCTACATTTCAAAACAGCCCAAGAAAGCAAGCTCTCCATCCCAACAGGCCAAAGATCTCAACCTCACACCTAACTCAGAAGGGTTAACACCCAAAGCGTGTAAAAATGAAGGCATTTTCCCCTTCAGGAGTCTAGCAAAACTGCAGCAACAAAAAATGCGTCTGTGTTCTAGGTAGTAAGCAGCAAGTTTGCTGCCACTGGGGATATAAAGGCAGTGTCCTCAAGCAGGGTGTCAAAAACCACATGCTCCTGTCCCAGAATGATAGCCCAGGTTCTCAGGAGCCCATCTGTGCTTTTCCTCTCTGTTTTCCTCCCAGAAATATATCCATATCAGACTCCCCAGGTGCACTGGATTCACCAGCCACCTCAGAGGGCCGAGCTGGCCCACAGGGATGCTTTAAAACCTACTTTGCCTAAGGAAGAAAAAATTCTCTTCCACTCCCAGACTGATAAGAAACTAATGAAAAGGAATAGAAACATTACCAAGAAGTTACAACACATTCCATTTAAAAAGAATCCTCAAGTGCAGGAAACACTCCATTACACATATATGACTTCACTATTTAATAAGTTTTCCACCCAATTTGGCATCACAGGGTGACATTCCCCCCACCTCTCTGCCCACAAATGTTTCAAGGTAGCTCAGAACCTGTCAATAGTCCATGAGGATTCAGGAAATGCTGATGCATTTTAATATCAGCCAAAACAAGCACAATACGAGTAAGCCTGCTACTGTCCTCACCTGCCCACCCCCACTCTCTCTTTTTATGCCTCCTCCTCACTTACACACAGGCGCACAGGAGCACACATGCACATACAATTCCAAAGTGAATTCTTCATGATTTGGGGTTTTTTCCAGAGCTAGGGGTTATCCATATTCCTGTTCCTCTAGAGCCTTCACTGTGGCCCATTCTGTTATCTTGATCAAGGAAGCAGCAGTCTTGACATCTCACCCTGTGGTTTTGTTAGAAACAGAAAAACAGCAGGAATTTCACAGGATTGGACCAGACTCTCAGCGGTGCAAATCTGGGACGTGTTAGAGACGTGAAAACAGCTCCACATTTGCATGGCGCCTTCCTTTCTCCAAGCTCAGGATGAGCAAGAGACTTTTCAGTGGGGGACTCACTAGCAAGACAGGGTCTCATCCAGCCCATCAGCCAGGCCTCTGCGCCTGACCGACTCCTCCTGACCACAAAAGGCCTCCCTGGCCTTCTGCAGGCAGATCGGACCCCATCCCTTCAGCATTCCTGACTCCACAGTTCCAGGCCAAATTCCCAGTTGATAATCCAGTCTCCATTTGTTTCCCCTCTCCACAAAATTTTAAATGAGAAATGTGTTGCTCTTCATTTCCTGTCTCACCCTCTCCACCGGTTTTTAAAGTCTGCCACTTCCCCCACCCCCCCAACCCCGGAAGCAGATGTCCTTCAGTGCCCCAACAGTGCCATGCCAAGTAGCTGCATGAACTCTAGTTGGTGTCCTGAGCTGACAACACGGGCAGAGAGCTTCAGGATCTGTATGATTCAGAGTGGTCTAGCTGGCCAAGATGTAATCTGCTGGATCCAGGCTCATGTTGAGCTTTCCACTGGAGGCTCCTTGTGCAACTAGCCCTACACCCCAGTCCACCCTTGCACCTATTTCCTCCCTTCCCTTGGGAATCATATCTTCAGGCCTCTGATGTTCTGTGCTAAGGAAGGGACAGGCATCATTCCCCTGTTCCCAAATTTGCTAATCGCAAGCAGCAGGGGAGATGGAGATGTTACGCCCCTGTTTGCGGGAGATGAATGCACACGCACATAGCTCGGTTCTCTACCCTTGGAAGGCAGGGTTCTTTATTTCCACTTCCCAAAGGAAGTGGCTATTTCAAAACCAGCTTAGGGGATATAGAGATAGCCGACCATTCTTGTTATCCAAAAAGAGAGCAAGATTATCTAGAAGGTGAGAGGCCATCTGTGGTTGGTTTGAATACATTCTTTAAGTTTTACATTGAAGCTGATTCTTTTCCCATACAATTTCCATAATGTTTGTCTTCTTTATTTTTCCACAAAACACTGTCCTCCTACACCTCACCGTTTGGGTCTCTCAAGGCTTATTAAAACACTTTGAGAGTAAAAAACACAGAACTCACCCCCAAGCACACTATTAGTGCCCAATAACCTGAATCCTGAAACAAAACTGTGAAGTTTAGATTTTCTCCAACACTCACCCCACCCGTCATCCTCATACTTCGCCTGTCTATCTCCCCATCTCGGCGTCCTCCTGAGGCTTCCTGGCAGCCTTGGGCAAGCCACAGAGGCACTACCCACACCTTCCCTTTCTGAGCTATCCCTTACACTCTAAGTTCACCTCTTACCCTAATGCTTAATCTCACAAACTAGTTCAAACCCATGTGTTAATGGGTGATAATGGGAAATAATAGGAACAATTTCTACATGTATTGAATGAAATACTTTTCAAAGCCTCTTCAAGGCTTTTACATTAATCATTTTATTTAATAATGTTATTACATTGACCCATCAGTCAGACAGGTACTTAGGCTACAATTTTCTTCTCCATTTTGTGGGTGAGGAAACTAAATTTCTTAGAGTGTATTTGTATGGCGCAAAATCACAGAGCAAGAAGGGTGGAGAGCTGAGATCAGACCCTAGCTTTTCTGGAGCCTGGTTCCCATACTGCGGCTGGATGGTTACTCTTTGCAGCCTGTGTGTCTTCTTTTGAAAGAGAATAGCTGGAATAGGCAATGCCTTAACTGTCTCACAAAGTAGAGACGTGCTAGAACCATTTGCGATACTTGTTCATAGTGCACATTCATGGGAACCACCCCAGACCTACCGAATCTGAATCTCTGAGAGTGGCCTCCGCCCAGAAAGCTGCAAATTAACATATTTCTAGGATGATTCCTATGCACACTTATGTCTGAGAACCTTTTCCTTAAGTCAAAGAACTAGATTTCTAACGATGAAATTTTAGACTTCGGAGAAAGAAATAGTAAAATCTATGTGAGAAACAAACTGTCGTGTTCAATGCCATTCACACTTTCTGAGTGCTCACCTACTGTGTATCTGCTCCTTCACCCTGGAGCTGCCAGGCTCTTGTTTCCATAACTCCTACCCTGCTCCAAGGCTATTTCTATCCAACCAGGAGCACCCACCTGCAATTTGGAGGAGGGGTCTTGCCCTATGCTCCTTTCTGTTTTCTCTCCTCAGTTTCCATGTTCTGTTTTGCTGGATGTTGTTAAACATAAACCCAAAAAGGAGAAGAAAGTATAAAAGGGTATGAAGAAAACACACTCTTCTTCCTTTCAGAACATTTTTCTCTCACCATCTTGCAAGAATAATACATTATTACCATGGACCAAATCCCCACTGTGACTATGTCCAGGTACAATTCAAAAACATCTGGATAACTGATTGACTTTTTCTCTTTTCATTTGAATGTACACCATTGTGTACAACCAGCCTGTGAGTTCCCCCGCGGGAAATGCTGAGGATGTGAATCCATCCCTTGGCTCTTTAATTAAAGTTGCAAAAACATCAGGAGGGTCTCAGCCTTGCAAACACTGAGAGCCTTTCCTGGAAATAGCTCTGCCTTTTGTATTAACAGATGTCATGGGGCAGTTGGGTCGGAGAGTGTTGTTTTAAAATTCTCAATCAGCCTTGCAAGAGGTTTTTCATTAGACGGTTCCTGGATAGCACCACACCCTTTTCTGTTTTCAACTTGCACATCACTTCATGTAGCTTTTCTCCTCTGATTCATCTTGAATGTTTGTCATGTGGACCAGAAATCACCCAAAGGCCAGCTCCTCAGATCTGTGATGGCCATGACATGCTGTCAGTTGATTTCCCTGCATTGGGCCGCATTTGCCTCCTGAAACTGAGAGTGAGCAGCTTTGTAATTATGCAATATTAGGCACATCTGCCTGACTTCAAACATCTGGCTGAAAAGTGGAAAATGCTTTTAAAAAATTAAGATGCTCAACATCATGGTGACAAAGTTCTAGATACTGGACAGAATTTTTTTAAATCAGATCCGTTTTAGGTTGTTGGTTTCAATGCCTCTTTGCATGTTGTTTTGTTGACATCAAGCAGCCTTTTAGGCATGAATTCTTCTGTCCCAAGGAAAGGAAGCAAGCTTCTAGAAGGGAAGCACTGCGTGCCTTCACCCAGATAGGGGACTGAGTCAGTAAGGAGAACTAAGAGGAAAAGAACACTTCACAGACGTAGAGGAGTGAAAAGACTGAATGCACAGGAGAGTAGAGCCAGAGATTGTGGAATCCTGAAGATAAGCAAGTCTGTGTTTGGCGATGGCCCAGCAATTAGACCCAAGATTTGACAACAACAGCTAAAGAGAAATAGAGATAAGTCAGTGGAGCTGACTCCGTCAAGAAATTGAGCTGGGAGTGTAGGAATGGGTCCGAGTGGACGCCAACATCCCTGAGATGATCACAGCATCTCGGCATGTGCTCAAATCATGGAGAACAGCCACAGATTGTCCACACTGGAGTCACGTGATAAATGCAGTGAGGCAATAAATGGTGCAAGTATGAAAGAGTTGGCTTCCAAAGTAGGCTGTGCTCAGAAGCAGAGTAGATACAAGGATTATCCCAGCCCAGCTCATCATTTGGGCATGCACAGGGAGAGAAGTGGTGCCCCCAGGACTTCCTCACCCTCCTCCACATTATTCCCAGCCAATCCTGCTCCCTCATCCCATTGCCTGAGAAGTTCTGGCAAGGCTGTCAATCCTTGTCCTTGTGCTACAGGATCAGTCTCTGTGTGCTGGCTGCAGAAACATTCCAGGGCCTATAGCTCTGTTTAATCAGCATACAGCAGAAAGTAAGAGGAGACAGAAGTGAGAGTCCACCCAAGGAGAGCGCCACAGGAGGAGAGATTGGCCCCCACGGAAATGGACTCTGAACCTCTGACATCTTGGAGCCAAAGTTAAGTAGCAGTGGAGGAATCAGCTCAGAGAGAG